GTAGGCTGTCTCTATTTTTCCTTCCATCTTTAGGGATTGATTATTTATGGAATTACTCACAACTGCTTTACTCACCTTTTTTGTCATTCTTATCCATTTAAAAGTATGCCCAGTTGTGAGGATTTCTTGGTTTGCATTGCTTTGCTTGTGTGGATGGAAAATACCAGTCCCGCTGGCCCCTGTGAGGCAGACACTCGTGCGGGTGTGGGGCCAGGTGTGGGTGACGCTGTATTGGTGGAGGGAGGTGGGACTGTGGCTTGGGAAGGAGCCCTTGCAGCCTATGTGAGCATCTGTCTGAGACACAGGCACTGAGTCAGACCTGGTGCGAGCCTGGCTGAGACTTGGGGAGGTTGCTTGGCCTTCATGAGCCACGCAGGTCATTCCAGGGGGGAACTGGCCATGATGATCTCTTCTTCTTTGCTATTTCCAGACTCTGTGCCTTCTCTGGAACTCGTAAAGATGAGAATGGAGGAAGGTTCTGGAAAGTTTCTGTTTCCCAACACACAGATTTTTTTTGAAAGATTGATTTATTTGAAAAACAGTTACACACACACACACACACATGCACACACACATGCACACGTACACAAAATCTTTCATCTGCTGGTTCACTCCCCAAATGGCTGCAATGACCAGTGCTGGGCCAGGCTGAAGCCAGGAGATTCTTTTGGGTCTCCCACATGAGTGCAGCAGTCCAAGCACTTGGGTCATCTTCTGCTGCTTTCCCTGGTACATTATCAGGGAGCTGGATCAGAAGGGGAGCAACTGGGATACAAACAAGTGCTCATATGGGATGGTGGCATCGCAGCCGGTGGCTTTACCCACTGTGCCACAATGCTGACCCCAGACCTCTTTCTCCATCTCTCCCTTTCTCTCTGTAAACCTACCTTTCAAATAAATAAGTACATCTTAAAACAATTAATCTGTTTATCGCATGGTGTGTGCAAATTTACACTTATGTATAAAGTTCAATGTATGATTTTATTTTTAAGTGTCACACAATAAAACTGAATTATTTTGCGTTCAGCTCAATGAATTTTTAGCACATGTAACCACATCATAATCAGTTTTTTATGCTTTATTTATTTGAGAGGGAGAGGGAGAGGGAGAGGGAGAGGGAGAGGGAGAGGGAGAGGGAGAGGGAGAGGGAGAGAGAGAATCAGAGGTCTCCCATCTGCTGGTTCACTCCTCAATTGGCGACAACAGCTAGGACTGGATCAAGCTGAAGCTGGCAGCCAGGAACTCAATTGGGGTGTCCAACCTGGGTGGCAGTGCTTGAGCCATCACCTGCTGCCCTCCAGGGTCTGCATTAGGGCAGGAGAGTCGGCACCTAGACCCAGGCACCGCGAGGTGGGACTGCAGGTGTCCCCAGGGATGCCTTAACCATTGCAGCAAACATCTGCCCATTCTTCTCCACGTTTAAGTGTCTAGTCCATCAGTCTTCAAGGCACTTGAAATGTTACTCAGCAGTCACCACGGGGCATTGCCAGAACTCTCTTCTGGCAAAGCGGAAACCCTGTGTGCATTAAACAAGGACCCCCCCCCCCCCACCAACAACCAAGATTCTCGCTACTTTTCAATATTTCTGTTAGAGTACATTAAAAAAACACCTAGATGATCAGAAAAGAGCTGTCTTTGGACCTCACTTCTTTTTCTTTAAAGACTTATTTATTTATTTTGCGAGAGAGAGAGAGAGAGAGAGAGAGAGAATTTTCTGGCCGCTGACTCACTCCCCAAATGACTGCAACAACCAGGGCTGGGTCAGGCTGAAGCCAGGAGCCAGGAGCTCCATCGGGGTTTCCCATGTGGGTGGCAGGGGCCCAAGCACTTGAACCATCTGTGCATTAGCAGGGAGCTGGAATGGCGTGTGGACTGGGACCCAGAACCCAGGCACTCCCACGTGGGACACAAGAGTCCCAAGTAGCAGCACCTTACCTGCTGCCCCAGGATGCCTTGATTTCTTGAGCCGGGACTTCTGGGCGGCCTGTTTGCAGCCACTGGGTAATTACAGCAGCCCTGGGAAACACTGACAGGTGGACTCTGGCACTTTCTCTCCGTGGCGGCAGGCTGCCCATCGGAGGTCAACTCAAATAGCTTTGTGGCAGTCAGCAGACAAGAGGATGTGAGAGTTTTGCAAACGGCTGGGTGTTGTTGCCAGGAGATGCAATCTTTGCCAGCTTCCAGGTTGGCTGCAGGCATTGAAACTGCCGACTGCAGAGTGGAGGCAGGCAGCTTCTGCAAGTGTGACGTGTGCTTTGCCCAGCATTTTTACAGGTGGGAAGATGTTATTTATCTGAAAGGGAGAGAGAGAGGGAGAGAGAGAGAGAGAGAGGGAGGGAGGGAGGGAGGGGGAGAGAGAGAGAGAGAGAGAGAGAGAGAGAGAGAGAGAGAGAGAGAGAGAGAGAGAAACATCTCTCATTCACTGGTTCACTCCCCAGATGCATGCAACAGCTAGGGCTGGGCCAGGCTGAAACTAGCAGGTAGAAATTCAAGCTCAGTCTCCCACATGGGTAGCAGGGACCCAGTTACTGAGCCATCGCCTGCTGCCTGCCACACTGGAATCCAGCATTCCAACATGGGGCAAAGGTGTCCCAGGTGGGGTCTTTACCATTGTGCCAATGCATGCTTTTGTTTTTTAAGATTTATTTATTTGGAGCTGGTGCTGTGATGGAGTGGGTAAAGCCACTGCTGCGGTGCGGGCATCCTCTATGGGTACCAGTTTGAGTCCTGGCTGCTCCACTTCTGATCCAGCTCTCTGCTAAGGTCTGGGAAAGCAGTGGAAGATGGCCCAAGTGCTTGTGCCCCTGCACCCATGTGGGAGACCCAGAGGAAGCTCCTGGCTCCTGGCTTCGGATTGGCCCAGTTCTGGCTGTTGTGGCCATTTGGGGGGTGAACCAGTGGATGGAAGACCTCTCTCTCTCTCCCTCTCCCTCTCCCTCTCCCTCTCCCTCTCCCTCTCCCTCTCCCCCTTTGCCTCTATAACTCTGCATTTCAAACAAATCAATATATCTTAAAAAAGAAAAAGAATGCTTGAAAAAGTCAGGACTGGGCCAGGCTGAAGCCAGGAGCCAGGAGCTTCCTCTGGGTCTCCCACATGGGTGCAGCGGCCCAAGCACTTGGGTCGCCCTCCACTGCCTTCCCTTGGGTCTTCTAGATGCTTTACGAAGCTGGATTGGAATCAGGGCAGCGAGGACTTGGGAACCAGTTCCCCAGTATGTGACACAAGCATCCCAAGTGGGGGCTTAGCTTGCGGCCCCACAACACCACCTCCTCCCATACTTCTTGTTTTATTAGTGAGGCATTTATTTTGAAGTGTGTTAGAAGCGCATGACTCACGGAGCACACAGTGAGTTGGCGTGGATCGTATTGCTCAGGTTGAAGCCTCAGGACCAGGAGCCAAGATAAATCTCTTTTCGTTTGAAACAACCTTCTCTGCACAATTTTTGTGTTCTTAGCAACAGAGAGCTATGGTGCCCCTGCAGGTGCCCTTGTGCCCACTTCCACGGTAGCATCTGCTTGTCTTTGAGAATTTCTCTGGCCGAATGACCGGGAGAGAGGGAGAGAGAGAGAGAGCAAGAGCGAGCGAGATCTTCCATCCACTGGCCACTCCCCAAATGCCTTCAACACCCGGGTCAGCCAGGCCGAAGTCGGGAGCCTGGAACTCCATCTCCCAAGTGGGTGTCAGAACTGTGATACCGGGTGCTGGTGTCCCAAGCTGTGGCTTAACCTTCTAAGCCCCACCATGTCGGGCCCTGCCTCTTCTTTCTCCCTGGGGAGCCTCAATTAGAGAGGCCCTACCCTGATACATTTAACCCTAACCACTCCCCAAATGCCGCACCTCTAAACACGAGAATCAGATTTAAGTGTCCACCCTCGTTAATAGCTCACGGTGTAGACGAAACTTAAACACGAGTTCTCAGAGGGCACAGGCTACACACCCTGTGGCAGGCATGGGGAGGAAGGCAGAAATCACAGCATCGTTGAGATACTGTCGGTCCACGGGACCCAGGGTGGGGGGCCAAGGCGGAACCCCTTCCACCCTCCGCCTTAGGCCTGCCCCACCCAGGACTCCTCTAACAGGTGCAAAGCCCATGGCATAGCCCTGGCCCGGCACAACTGGAATGACAACCACTCTTTCATGATAGAAGTTTGCATTTCATCCTGCTAACACAGGGCCGGGCTGGGGAGCCTGGGGCGGGAAGACCTGGAACGCCCCCCCCCCCCCCCAGCAGAGCCTGTTTGGATCCGGTTCAGGAGGGGAACAGGACGCAGAGCGCACAGAAAACTCATGGAGTCTTGCTAAAAACAGCAGCTAAGGGGCAGCCTAACTAAGGCAGAGGGAGAAGGGCCAGCAGAGGTGACAGAATGACGCCCCCCTTAGAGATCCGAGGCCGGGAGCTGGCAGACGCTGGAATTCAGCGCGCGGAGACTCCCACGCAAATCAGCAAAAAAAAAATCCAGAAGGGGGCGTGGCTTCAGGCGAGGGCGTGACCGCGGGCGGGGCTTTTTGGTCGCGAGAGTCAGGGTCGTGGGACTCGGGAGGGCAGGCCTCTGGCGTTCCACGTCCGGATAACAGGAAGGAAGTTACGGCCTGGCTGCTGTGGGAATTCGCGCTCGGAGCCCGGCACCCACGGGCCGGCCATACGCGGCCACGGCAACGCCGAGGAAGTCTTCGCCTGCGAAGACGCTAGTAGCAGACGCCTGGGGGCGTGGCCTCTTAGTTTACAAAAAAAACAAAAAAAACAAAAGTGGGCCTGAGGCTTGAAGCGCGAGCCAATGAAAGGGGAAGGAGGGATGGGTCCTGTGCGCGGGACAGCCAATAGCAATGAGGCTCTTACGGGAGGGGGCGGGGCCGTGGGCGGAGTTCTGCGCACGCACATTGGGCGCTCTACGGAGCGCCGCTGAGCCAAGTAGCTGCAAGGGGCACCGTTGCGCACAGGGGTCACGTGACCCTCGGAAGCCGCCAAAGATCGCTGGAGTCAGCGCTGTTTCCTGTAGGTGAAGGTTACAGGGCCCCGGGGTCCGAGCCAGCGTCGGAAGCAGTATCCTGATGCGACTTTGACCTCGACCCGTGGCCCGGGGTCGAAGGTCACAGGTTCAGGCTACCGCCGCGCGAGGAAGCGTAGCTCGAGCCGCGAGGACCCTGCCGCTCTCCCGGTGGGAGTGGCCGCGCCCCTCTTGGTGACGTGAACGTGGGGGCGGGCTCACTCCTGGGGGCGGAGATTCGCAGCGAGGGTGGGGTGAGGGGAGGGCCTTTGGGCTTCCCCACCCTCCCCCGGCTCATTGACAAATCGGTAGGTGGGGAACAGAACGCCGGTCTGTGCCTCTGCCGCCGGACCTGTGGTGGGTTAGTCCGGGCCGCGGTGACGTAAGGGGCTGGCGCTGGCGTCCCGGGGGCGTGGCCTCGCCCCGGGCTGGCTCGCGAGGGGCGTAGCCTTGGGGGCGTGGGCACGCGGAAACGCGCTGCAAGGGGCGTGGCCCAGGGGCCGCGCGGGGCGAGACGGGGAAGGATGCGTCGCGCCCGGGTCTTGGCAGTGCCCTTACTTCCTTAGGTGCTTCCTCATGGAGACCCCAGCCGGGAGCTTCGTGCCCCCCTTGCTGCTGCTGGCCTGCGCGACGCTGGTGGCCGCCCTGCTGGGCGCCGCGCACCGCCTGGGGCTCTTCTATCAGCTGCTGCACAAGGTGTGTGTGTGGGGGGCGTGGAGGTAGCTAGGGGGGGCTGCCGGATACGGGGTGGAGGCTCAGCCATGTAGCATGGGAGGAAAAGCCGAGGGACCTGTCGGGAGAGGCTGCCCATTGCAGATCTGCACGCGAGGGTGTGGGTGGGGGGCACTTGGGGGAGGTTACGGGGGTACTGAGACTCCCCCCTCCCGGGGCCCACCCTCCTTCCCCAGGAGCTCTGATCGCTTTCCCAGCGTGGGGAAGACCCTCCCACTATGTTGAAACCCTGCCCCTCAACGCAGAGCAGGTGCGGTGACAGCTTTGCCGCTGTGGCTCCCTGAAGTGTATAATGCATTAGAGGAATTTTTTTCCCCGCCTGTCCGTGGAAAGCCAGTGTTTTAGTTTCTGCCTTCCCGGGAGAGATTGTTTGGGAGGGGCTGGCTGCTCCTCTGTTAAAAAAGACATTTGCCCGGCCCGCAGCCGTGCCTCTGCTGAAGTTTTCCTTCCTGACTCTGCTCTGGGCTCCTTCCTCTCCTTAGCAGGGACCAAAGGCCTCTCGGATCTGCAGAGGCGTGGAGGTTTACAGTTAAGGCAAAGTCCTCAAGGGTGTGTGTGTGTATGGGGTGCTGGGCAGCAGCCCGGGGCTGGGCTTGGGCCGGCGTCCTCCGCAGATAGGTTCCGTGCCAGGCACGTGGAGCCCAGCTCTGGGAGGGAGGCAGGCTGTCTGGCTGGCTGCCGGGCCCTGTGGGGATGGCCAAGGACAAGCGAGGAGTCACAGCCAGTGGCGCTGTGGCCCCTGCCCTACTCCCCTTGGGCCATGGATGTCTGTGCGGAGGCTCTTGTCTTTCTGATTGAATCACCCGATCTGGAAGTGAGACAGTGTGGCCGCGCCGAGGGGTGAGCTGTCAGGCTTTGGATCTCGTGTGGGTGCTGAGTTGTAAGAGCGTTTATAAGATTGGATGAGATCTCAGATCATGCGTGTGTGCCTGAGAATAAAGTTCCCTTGGTCTCCGACCCTGCTCCTGTCCCCTCTCCCCAGCCGTTCTGGCCCCTCCCTCCACACAGCCGGGTCCCCTTCCCTGTGTCCCCAGGTGGACAAGGCCAGCACCCGGCATGGCGGGGAGAACGTGGCGGCTGTGCTGCGGGCCCATGGCGTGCGATTCCTCTTCACGCTGGTGGGCGGGCACATCTCGCCGCTGCTGGTGGCCTGTGAGAAGCTGGGCATCCGTGTGGTGGACACACGTCACGAGGTCACGGCTGTCTTTGCGGCTGACGCCGTGGCCCGCCTCACGGGTAAGGGTGGGGGCCCATGGCATCGGGGCGGTGTCTTAGTCATTGGGTGGCCATGAGGGGCATGTTTTTTTTTTTTTTTTGGTGGGGGGGTGGGAGGTGATGGACACTCCCTGTGTTTTCCAGGCACAGTGGGCGTGGCGGCAGTGACAGCGGGGCCTGGACTCACCAACACGGTGACGGCAGTGAAGAATGCACAGATAGCCCAGTCTCCGGTCCTGCTCCTGGGTGGCGCTGCGGGCACCCTGCTGCAGGTGCCCAGCCAGGAGGGTGGGGGTGGAGCGTGGGCAGGGACGCCCAGAGGGGCTGCTTGGAGAGCTCCCGTGATAACTCTGCCCTCGCCCTGCCCTTGCCTCACCCCTGCCAGAAACGGGGTGCGCTCCAAGCCATTGATCAGCTGTCCCTGTTCCGGCCACTGTGCAAGTTCTCTGCCTCCGTGCGCAGGGTGCGGGACATCGTGCCCACCCTGAGGGCTGCCATAGCCGCCGCCCAGTCAGGCACCCCAGGTAGGTGGGGGTGGGGAGAAGGGGAAGGTGTGCTGGGAGGTGCCGCAGGCTCAGGGGTCCTCCCTGCCCCCCTCCCCTGCCCCGCAGGCCCCGTGTTTGTGGAGCTGCCCATTGACGTGCTGTATCCGTACTTCATGGTTCAGAAGGAGATGGTGCCAGCCAAGCCACCCAAGGGCCTGGTAGCCTGGGGGGTCTCCTGGTGAGCAGCCCCTCCCCACCTCGCCCTCCTCCATCCCCTGCCTCCTCCCTGCATGCTTCCCTCCTCCTCTCACCCCTTCCTTGGTTTGCACATGGGCTAAGAGGAGCTAGGTAGCAGGGATGCCAAGGGCCTGAGGCAGGACAAGAGCCTGATGGTTGGGAAAGCAGAGTGGCTGTGGGGCTGGCAGCAGGTGAGGAGAGAGGACAGGAGCAGATGTGGGCTGGGCTCAGAGCACTCCTCCCCCTCTTCTTCTGCCTCTCCTCCTCCTCTTCCTCCTCCTCTCCTTCCCTTCATTGTCCCCCTTGCTCCTCCTTCCCTTCTCTCCTTGTCTAGCTCTTTTTTTTTTAAATATTTATTTTATTTATTTGAAGGACAGAGTTACAGAGAGAGAGAGAGGCAGAGACAGAAACAGAGAAAGAGAGAGAGAGAGAGATCTTCCATCCACTGGTTCACTCCCCAAATGACTGCAACGGCCAGAGCTGAGCTGATGTGAAGCCAGGAGCCAGGAGCTTCTTCCTGGTCTCCCACGTAGGTGCAGGGGCCCAAGGACTTGGACCATCTTCCACTGCTTTCCCAGGCGCATTAGCAGGGAGCTGGATCAGAGTGGAGCAGCTGGGACTCGAACCGGTGCCCATATGGGATGCCGGTGCTGCAGGTGGAGACTTAGCTCACTACACCACAGCACCAGCCCCTCTGCCTTTTTTATATTATATGTTGGACAGGCAGAGTGGACAGTGAGAGAGAGAGAGAGAGACAGGGAGAAAGGTCTTCCTTTACCGTTGGTTCACCCTCCAATAGCCGCTGCAGCCGGCGCACCGCGCTGATCCGAAGCCAGGAGCCAGGTGCTTCTCCTGGTCTCCCATGCGGGTGCAGGGCCCAAGCACTTGGGCCATCCTCCACTGCCTTCCTGGGCCACAGCAGAGAGCTGGACTGGAAGAGGAGCAACCGGGACAGAATCCGGCACCCCAACTGGGACTAGAACCTGGTGTGCCGGCGCCGCAGGCGGAGGATTATTCTAGTGAGCTGCGGCGCCGGCCTTTTTTTTTTTTTTTTTTTTTTGCCTGACTTCTTTCTCTGCATCTCACAGGTACCTAGAGAATCACCTGGCCAACCTCTTTGCGGGGGCCTGGGAGCCACAGCCTGAGGGACCCCTGCCCCTGGACATCCCCCAGGCGTCCCCCCAGCAGGTAAATACCACTTCCATCCCTGGCAGGCAGGGCCCAGTGCACTTGTCTCCCTGAGTGGGCAGGGCCCTGTGCGCCTGTCTCCCTGAGTGGGCAGGGCCCTGTGCACCTGTCTCCCTGATGGGTAGGGCCCTGTGCGCCTGTCTCCCTGAGTGGGCAGGGCCCTGTGCGCCTGTCTCCCTGAGTGGGCAGGGCCCTGTGCACCTCTCTCCCTGAGTGGGCAGGGCCCTGTGCACCTGTCTCCCTGAGCCAGGCTCCTGGATCTCAGGGCCCCAGGGTGACTCTCAGCTCCGGCCCCAGGTTCAGCGCTGCGTGGAGATCTTGAGCCGGGCCAAGAGGCCCCTGCTGGTGCTCGGGAGCCAGGCTCTGCTGCCCCCGACGCCCGCCGACAAGCTCCGGTGAGAAGCAGCCCCAGGCCGGCCCTTCTTAGCCTCTTCCTGGTCCCCAGTCCTCGGGGTGTCCCCTGGGAGAAGGGAAGGGCAGGCCAGGGCTGACCTCTGATCTACCTCACCCCTTAGGGCTGCCGTGGAGACCCTGGGCGTCCCCTGCTTCCTGGGGGGGATGGCCCGGGGGCTGCTGGGCCGCAACCACCCCCTGCACATCCGGCAGAACCGGGGCGCTGCCCTGAAGAAGGCAGATGTGGTCATTCTGGCAGGTGGGCCCCCCAAGGGTCCCCCCCTTCGCTGCTGCGACCCTACCCTTGCTTATAAGGGCCTCTGCTGGCTCACTCCCCAGATGCCTGCAACAGCCAGGGCCGGGCCAGGCTAAAGCCAGGATCCTGGAACTCATTCCCAGTCTCCCACGTGGGTGCAGGGGCCCAGGGACCCGGGCCATCCTTTACTGCTTTCCCAGGCACATTAGCAGGGAGCTGAAACAGAAGAGGAGCAGCAGAGACTTGAACTGGCACCCATACGGGATTCCGGTGCTGTAGACGGTGGCTTTACAAGCTACGCCACAATACTAGGCCACCCCCTCCAAGTTTTTTTTTTTTTAAAGATTTATTTATTTATTTTTTAAGATTTTATTTATTTATTTGAGAGGTAGAGTTACCGACAATGAGAGTGAGAAACAGAGAGAAAGGTCTTCCATTCGTTGGCTCACTCCCCAGTGGCCGCAATGGTTGGAGCTGTGCCAATCTGAAGCCAGGAGCCAGGTGCTTCTTCCTAGTCTCCCATGCAGGTGCAGGGGCCCAGGGACTTGGGCCATCTTCTGCTTTCCCAGGCCACAGCAGAGAGGTGGATTGGAAGAGGAGCAGCCGGGATTAGAACCAGTGACCATATGGGATGCCGGTGCTGCAGATGGAGGATTAACCTACTGCGCCACAGCGCCGGCCCCTAAAGATTTTTTTATTTTGAAAGGCAGAGTGACAGAAAAGATGTTCCAGCCACTGGTTCAGTCCCCAAATATTCCCAACGGCCAGGGCTGGACTGAAACCAGGAGCCAGGAGCTCCACCCGAGTCTCCCATGCAGACAGGAAGGGTCCGAGGACTTGGGCGTCCTCCGCTGCCTTCCCACGCACGTTAGCAAGGAGCTTTCTAGGAAGCCAAGCGCCAGGACTCGAACTGGTGCTTTGATGGGGGCCGCGGGCATCACAGATGGCAGCTTAACCTGCTGTGCCCCGTTGATTTAAAAAAAAATTCCAGCATTAAAAATAAACTTGCTTTTTGGCTAAGATAAGTATAAAATCAGCTTGCTGTCGAACTCTGTTTTTTCAATGGCCTGTTGGAAATCCCCTGGCGCTTTTCCTGCATTGCTTAGCAATGGCGTCGTGTGTGTATACACATGGACTCACCGGGCAGTTAAACCACCCCGCCGTAGACCCCTACATGACCACTGGGCTTGGGTGTGTCCGTCGCCCAGTGAAGATTTGTGCAGTGAGGGACCATGACAACCGTCCCCAAACTCAATGGCTTAAAGTGCATTTACGGTGTCTCGGGACCCTGCTGCAGGTGGCGGGTGGGATCGGTTCTTCGGGCTTTGGCTGGGCTCGGCAGCAGCAGGTGGGTGTCTGTGCTGATGCAGGAAGGGCTCTGAGCTGGGATCACTGGGTGCTCTGCCCTCACCACCCCCCACTGCTCTCTGTGTGTTTCTCAACTCCCCCCGCCACCCCGGGCTGCGCTACTTGGGGGAGGAGGGCTGGGCAAACATGGGAGTTAGGGGAGAGAGGTGGGGGTTAGGCCTCTTGAAACCTGTCTCAGGCTCGGGTCGTGTCACTTCTACCACGTTGGCCAAAGCCACTCTCAGGGCTGGTGTTGCAGCATAGCGGGTAAAGCTACCACCTGCAGTGCCCGCTTCCTATATGGGTGCTGGTTCGAGTCCTGGCTGCTCCACTTCTGATCCAGCTCCCTGCTAGTGTGCCTGGGGAGAGGCAATGGAAGAGATGACCCAACTGCTCGGGCCCTTGCACCTGCATGGGAGACCCGGATGGAGCTCCTGAATCCTGGCTTTGGCCCGGCCCAGCCTTAGCTGTTGTGTGTTGTGGCCGTTTGGGGAGTGAATCAGCAGATGAAAGATCTCTGTCTGTCTCGTTCTCTCTGTATTTCCAGCTCTCAAATAAATAAATAAATAAGTCTTAGAAAAATACGGTCATTGTCAAGGCCAGCCCAGCTCAGACGGTGGGAAGGGGGGCTGGGTGCAGGGCGGGGGAGAACCTTGTGCATCTGGGTCACTGTGGTGGGTCACCTTGGCATGTTGGCCCCGCACACCCCACGACCCTGGCCCCCTGTCCACACGGAGTTCTGCCTCCCCCGCCCCCCAGGAATCGTGTGTGACTTCCGCCTGTCCTATGGCCGCGTCCTGAGCCGCAGCAGCAAGATCATTATCGCCAACCGCAACCGGGAGGAGATGCTACTCAACTCCGACATCTTCTGGAAGCCGCGGGAGGCCGTGCAGGGTGAGCGCGCCCCCGGCCCCGCCCTCAGCGCGCAGGCACGTCCTCCTGGTCTCCATCCCTGCCTTCGCTGTGGCTGGGCTTGGGCTTGCCTTGGCTGTCCGGCAGATGGGTGCTTCCGTGGGCACCAAGGGAGGCCTGTGACTGCCGCCTCCTCCTCCATGTCCTTTGCCCCCTGGGGGACAGAGGCCACGCCCCCTTGACCCCTCTGCCATCTGGGCCCTAGGTCTCTGTCTCAGGCGGAGGTGGGAGGGGTGACCAGCCATTCATGGGCTCACTCTGGGCCCGGCTCAGGAACGTGCTTGGGGGATGTGGCTGGTTTGGGGGATGGTGTCTCCGGGGCAGGATTGACATGATCTGGGCTCCGAGGGGGAAGGGGGTAACAGGCGCCCTGGGGTGTGCTTGTGTCCCTGGCTTTTCCCTTCGTCTTAGCTCCCCCTGGGGTTGCCCACCTAGCTGGCTCAGGAGCACCCTCTCCCCCAAACCCTCCCTGCGGCTGCCCCAGCCCGTGTCGAAGCCTCCCCTCTCTTCCTTCCCCTCCAGGAGACGTGGGCTCCTTCGTGCTGAAGCTGGTGGGCGGCCTTCAGGGCCAGACGTGGGCCCCAGACTGGGTGGAGGAGTTGCGGGAAGCTGACCGCCGCAAGGAGCAGGCTTTCCGGTGGGGAGGGGGGTGCTGCGTGGGGTGGGCGGGGAATGGGGTGGGGCCAGGCTGGGATGGGCACTTCCAGGTGGGCAGTGGCCACCGCCGCCGGCCCTCCTCATGTGCCCCGCCCTGTCCCAGGGAGAAGGCAGCAATGGCCGTAGCCCAGCACCTGAACCCTGTGCGGGTGCTGCAGCTGGTGGACGAGGCTCTGCCCGACAACTCCATCCTGGTGGTGGACGGCGGGGACTTCGTGGGCACTGCTGCCCACCTGGTACAGCCCCGGGGCCCCCTGCGCTGGCTGGATCCAGGTAAGGGTCCCCCTCCCCCCGGGGGGTGGGGCGGCCTATCGGCACTGCCTGGGCCCCTTCCCACCACCTGCCCTCTCTGTGCGTCCATCCTAGGGGCCTTCGGGACTCTGGGAGTTGGCGCAGGATTTGCACTGGGCGCCAAGCTGTGCCGGCCGGATGCCGAGGTGAGGCCTGGGCTGATCTAGAACCGGGAGAGTTGCTGCTTCCGGGGCCGGGAACCACACTCAGCCATTCCTGGGTGTCTCTCTCCCGTCCCCAGGTGTGGTGCCTGTTTGGGGATGGTGCCTTTGGCTACAGCCTCATCGAATTTGACACGTTTGTTAGACACAAGGTGACAGACGGGGCTGCTGTGGGAGGGGGCAGGGGTATGTGGGGTGGGTGGTGGGTGGTGCGGCTGAGAGCCTGGGGTCCTGAGATGTTGTTCCTGGGGGCGGGGGGCTGAGTGAGGAGGGAGCCGCTGTACCCTGGAGGCTGTGACCTGGCCTTGTCTTCTTCCTGCAGGTCCCAGTGGTGGCCTTGATAGGGAACGACGCAGGCTGGACCCAGATCTCTCGGGAGCAGGTGCCCAGTCTGGGCAGCAACGTGGCCTGTGGCCTGGCTTACACTGGTGAGGGGCCTGGAGTGGGGTCAGGCCAGTGTGCAACAGGCTGGGTCTCCTCCACCATCTGACTTGGTTCCCAGGCCAGTGTGTGAGAGGCTGGGTCTCCTCCACCACCTGACTAGACCCCCAGGCCAGTGTGTTAAAGGCTGGGTTTCTGCCACCATCTGACTAGATCCAGGCCAGTGTGTGATGGGCTGGGTCTCCACCACCGTCTCACTCAGCCTCTTCTTTCAGATTATCACAAGGCAGCCATGGGGCTGGGGGCCCGGGGCTTGCTGCTGTCTCGAGACCACGAGGAGCAGGTGGCCAGCGTGCTCCGTGATGCCCAGGAGCAGTGCCGGGATGGCCACCCAGTGGTGGTCAACATTCTCATTGGGCGGACGGACTTCCGGGACGGCTCCATTGCCGTCTGAGGCCTGCTGGTCAGGATGCCCAGCCCCCTTCCCACCCTGGTCCCTGACCTGCCCACCTGCCCTGGGCCCATCCTGCTGGTCAGGACCTCCAGACCCCTTCCCACCCCTGCACGCTGCTCCCCCCACTCTGCCAGCCGGTGCTGGGCCCATCCCGCGGGTTTCGATCTCAGCCCCCTTCCCACCCCCCACCCCTGCATGCCGCCCCCTGCCTGCCTGCCCTGGGCCCATCCCATGGGTCAGGATGCCCGGCCCCCTTCCCACCCCTGTAAGCCACCCCTTGCCTGCCTGCCCTGGGCCCAGGTCAACTCTGAGGGAGGAGGATTCCTGGTGGTCCCTGGAGATGTTTTGCCCCGCCCCCAACCACGCCCTCTCCCCATTCCCCTCTTACAGAGTGGATAAAACCACTTCTTGACCCGCGAGGGGGCCCAAAGGACCCGATTCTGGAACCTGTGCATATCGATTTATTGTCCACAAAGACGGGAGTGAAGGGGAGAAGAGGCAGGAGGGGACCCCGCTTGGCCACCGCGGGAGTGTGGGGTGGGGGGTCCTGGGGTGCTGGGCACCGCGAACCCCAGTTCCCTCCTCTGTGGTCACCTCCAGGCATCGTCCGTGCACACGAGTCCTCACACACAGGACACGCAACACGCACGGAAGCAATAAATATTTTCCGTACCAAAAAGTCTTCCCCAGCCTGACGCCTCAGGGGTGGGGAACCCTCCCACAAGGGGAGGGGTTAAGTGCTCCATTATTTGAGGGGAGGGGGAGGGGCAGGGAGGGAGGACAAGGGCCAGACCCTGCTATGTCAGGTTGCTGGTGGGAGGTCAGTCCTGGGTGGCGGGAGGGTGTAGGGTCCAATGTTTTCCCATCGGTCCCAGGTTGCCCCTGTGCAGCCAGAGCCCAGGGTAAGGGGCTGCCCCTCCACCCCCTCCCCCCGCGCGCACACACACACAACAGCGCCTTGTGATAGTCCTTGTCCTTGGGGTCGGCCAGGGGAGGGACAGACAGTGCAGTGCTCAAAGCTAATACTGATCGATTGGCAGCAGCAAGAGGACTGACAAGGGGGTGTCTCGCCATCCCAGGGTGACGCTCACAGTAACTTCGGCGTATCCCCCTCTCCCCCCGGCCCCCCCGCTCCCGGGCCAAGGGGAGCAAGAGAGGCCGGCCTAGCAAAGCGGGAGAAGTGCCTGTGGACACCAGCAAGAAGAGAAGCCCTCGGTGCTCTCGGGAGGAAGCCGCCACAACAGCGAATCCTGACAGGCCCCCTGCCCCCTGCCCTAGGCACTGGGCCCCAGGAGACGGAATGATTGGCAGCTGGTCCCTTGGCAACTCCCTAGCAACCAAGAACTCCGCCCAAGCAACAGGTCTGGTCCGCCTCCGTCGTTGCTAAGGGCGCCGCCTTAGCAACCCAGAGCCTGGTCCTTGGTAACGTGGCATCGCCCCGCCCCGTCCTACCGGCTCAGAGGCACACGTTGATCTGCTTGGAGAGCTCCCTCTCCAAGTCCAGGATGAGAGCGTCGAAGTCTTTAAGGTTCAGGTGCGGGTTGAAGGGCGCGTCGAAGTCGTCCTCGAAGTCAGCGGCGCTCCTCGGCTGGCCTGCCTCATCCTCGTCCTCGCTGTCGCTGCCTGGCACGTGGTCGTAGTCGGGCCCAGACAGGAAGTCCCGCCCACAAGGCAGGAAGTCCCGCCCGCAAACGCTCCAGTCGCCAGCGTAGCGGTTGCTAGGCGGGCTTTCTGGGCCTCCACGGCCGCGCGGCCGAGTCACCACTTCGGGACCCGCTAACGGCAGATGCAGCTGCGGCTGCCGCTTGGGCCGCAAGTATGGTGCCACGTCCGGAGCCTCTGGGGGCCGGCGGGGATCTGAAGGGGGAGAGGAAGGGTTTGTGATGGTGTCACGCACGGCAGCAGCAGCCATACCTTCCGGCGGCTGCTTTCGTAACTAGGTGTCTGATTGGCTGTGGAAAGGTGGAGTGGGACCTGGTTGCTGAGGCAACCGGGCCTGTGATTGATCCATCCAGGGGTGGGGCCTCCGGCCATATCAAAGACGGATTGGCCGGATCTGAACTGGTTGCTAAGGCAACCATGTGTTTACCCCTCCCGGCGAGGGGGCGTGGCCTGCCTCTAATCCAAGCCTACGATTGGCTGCCGGGGAAGGGCTGTGCTCTCGCGGCCTGGCTGGGATTGGTGGCGCACGCCTGGGGCGGGCTCACCTGGCCAAGACTGCAGCAGGTAGTGCAGCACCTCGATGTGGCGCTTGAAGTCCACCGCGCTGGCAAGGCCTGGGCCCGAACCGCGGATGCGGGCTCGGGCGGGCGCCTGGCGCGCGGGCAGCAGCACGGGCCCGAAGCACACGGCCAGGTTCTGCGTGGTCATGCGGTTGTGGGCGTGGAAGGACGAGACGAGGCGCAGGTGGTCCAGGAGAAGCGTCAGTGTGGCCTGGGCGAGAGGGTTGGGGGGAGGGAGGCGTGAGGCGGGCAAGGTGGGACCCTTGCTGCACCTGCGGGAGACTACACCTGCTCGGCTCCAGGTGTCATAGGTGGGAGGTGGCTGAACTACTAAGGCTGGTTATCTGCGAGGTATTATAATCCCATGTTTTTTTTTCTGGAGGGGAAGGCAGAGCCCTGCCTTGAACCCAATCCTGTGTGTGTGCATGTGTGCGGGTGTCTCCCACCAGGCCTGACTCACCCTTTCCACTTCGGGCAGGCAGCTGAGGAGCTGCCGGGTGCCTTCGGGGCCCGGAGGAGCTCTGTTTGGGGTTCCCTGGGCCATGGCTTCCAGCACCACCTGGTACAGGGGCTGGGTGATGAGCGGGGTGGGCAGCTCCCGGAGGTAATCCTTAAGGATGCCTGCGGAGACAAGGCCCCCGCTGCGGTCAGAGCTGCCCAGGCCCTGGCAGGGGGAGGGGGTGGGGTGGGGGAGAGGTAAGGAGGGGAGGGCAGCAGGGTGAGGTTCCAGCGGGGGAGGGGTTGCCGTGCTGACCAGTGATGACATTGATATCAGGGTACAGGTCCTCAGAGAGGCAGACAGCGGCACTGTCCCGCTCAAAGGCGTCGCGAAGCTCCTTTTTGACTGCAGCCGAGCCGCACAGCCGGTACAGGCCCACTACCTGGGGGGCGGGGATGGACAGTGTGGGTGGGGGCGCTACAGGCTGATCAGGGCCCTCTGGTGGTGGGGCTGGAGGTCTATGCTGGGCACTCACCCGCAGCCCCCGGCGCTCGATCTGCCCCACGCACTTCTGGATGATCAGGGGTACTTGGCCGGGGGGCCGCTCCCGCTGCACGAGCAGGGGCAGGGGCAGGCCAAAGACACGGGGCTCAGCCGTGGCCGCTGGCGGCGCCTCCTGCTGCTCGGACAGGGTCAGCTTGGCGTACAGCAGTCCCTGGGGCTCCAGGCGCACGGCCAGCTGCTGGGCCTGGGAGCCTGAGAGGACATAGGGTGGCGATGGGGCTCCTTGCTGTCTCCCAGCCACGCCCCTTCGTCTAGAGGGGGTCTTGTGCCCCGCCCCTCCCCCAGAGGCGGGGCCTGGCATCCCTACCTCGGAAAACGGTGGGCAGCAGCACAGTGCCCTGGGCACAGGGCCGGTGGCGCCTCACGCCCGGGTCCCATGCCAGCACCAGGGCCCGCAGGAGCCGGGCGGCCTCGAGCTCCAGGTGGAAGGTGTGATCCAGCTGCAGGAAATCAGGGCCCCCTCGAAGGGGCCCGGTTCGGGCCCGGGCCACGCCGTCCACTTGCAGCAGGCAGCACAGGTCCCTGGGGGTGGCGCCGGGTGCCGGCCGCAGCCCCCCGAGCCCGTACAGGTGCAGACTGAGACGACCCCAGAGTGCAGCCGGGGGCGCCCGGGCGGCAGGGCCCACCTCGTAGGGCCGGAAGGCCGTGGGCGACGGGGGTCCTCCTGCTGGGCGCTCGGGTGAGTCCCCGTCGCTGAGGTAACCGGCCCTGGGGCCGCGAGCGGCCCCAGCCCCGGCCGCCCGTCCCCCGGGACCCCCGACGCTGCTGTCCAGGTGGTACCGGCTGATGACGGAGCCCGCGGGGGCGCTCCTGTCTCGCTCGCGGCTGACGCGGGTGCTCCTGAGGCTGAGCCGCCGCCGCAGCTCCGGGAGCTTCTTCATCTTCATGGACAGGCGCCTGGCCGGGCCGGGGGACTTTGCTGTGCGGGATGCCTTGGTGGGCGGGCTGGCGGGGGCCGCACCTGTGGGGTTAGGGCACGCAGGCTCAGGGATTGGGGCTCTGGTGCTCACCTGGTGGGCTCACCTGGTGGATGCTGGTGGTTCTGGGTGACAGGTTCGCTCTTACCTTGTGCGGTCAGGCCATCGGGCTCAGCTGGGCTGGGCTGTGGACTCGAGGCCTCCGCAGCTGGGGGTCTGGGGTCTTCCTCAGGGATGGGGTTGTACCAGATCTCGCCGGCGGGCTCCCCGCCGCCGCTGCTACCACAGCCGCTGCTGCCAGGCGCTCGGGGCCCTGCAGCGGCCTCTTCGGGCGGCTTGGCCCCGCCCAGCACCCATCGCCGGCTGCTGGGCTCAAGGCTCTGCAGGTAGGCGCCGCGCCCTGGGCTCCTCGATGCCTCCGGGCTGGGGGGACCCGCCGCCACTGCCGCCGTCACAGCGGCTGTCGCCGCAGCCTGGGGTCCCTCGGGGGCCTGGGGCTCAGGCTCTGGAGGGCCAGGCTCGGGGCGCTGGGGTGGGCGGCCTGGTGGAGGGCGAGGGGAGTGAGACCCAGCTCCCCAGCCCCCCCTCCCCTCCCCGTGCCAGAGCAGCCTCCAGTCTGGGGCCATCTGCCCGGCCCCCTCCCCATGGTAGACCCAGCCCTGGGGGCCCTGCTGTTATGTTTGGAACTGAGAGAGAGAGAGAGAGAGAGAGAGAGATCTCCATGGTTAACTTAACAGCCCGCACCCTGCAGTATTAGGGGTCCTCGGCAGGTTCCCCCCATGTTTCCCTCACTCTCCTGAACCCTGGCACGAGCCCCCCCCTTCATCCGGTGACTCTGGGCAAGTAGTTTTCCTCTCTCCTCAGGGGCTCCGTGTCTCTCCCATAAAACGGGGGTCCCTCCCTTCCCTGATCTCAGCCATTGGAGACACACGGAGCAGGCCTGAGTGACAGTCATCAGCAGACCTGGGGGTCTCGTCCTCCTCCTCGCAGCCCCCCCCATCAGTGTGTTGAGCCTGCCCCCAGCCCCCTCCCCCTGTGACATCACAGGCCGTATCCCTGTGTGGGCACCTAATCCTCTCTCCTGGCCCTTCTGGGAAACCTTGGGCATCTTTGGTAACTGGGAGTGGGGGGTGGGGTGGGGGAAGAGGCTCTTCCTCCTTTAACTCATTCCCTCCGGGAAACCCCTGCCCAGTCCTGTTTCTCCAAGGTCTGGTCTTGCCAGTCTGCTGAAGCTACCCCCCTTCCTCTTCCTCCTCTTCTTCTTCCTCTGGTCACCTCCCTCAAGGTTCTTTCTGGGTGGGTGGTTGGGTGGGGTGGGGTCTCTCTTAGCAACAGCACACTCCCAAGAGCTGCTCTCCTGTGAAGTCAACTTTACCTGACCCCTGAGCAAATGGGCCAACTGCTGTGTGCCTCAGTTTCCCCGTTTGTTTCACGAGGACGGTATCCTGGGAGCTGCCCCCCCCCCCCCAGCTTCCTGCAGTCCCCCACCCCATCCCCTCCGCCTGCCTCCCTCGCAACCCCCCTCCCCGGGGCCTCCCAGTCCGTTCGTTGTGGCCCCGTTTCCTGTCGGGGCTAGGCCCCCCTCCCGGGCCTCCCTGGAGCCTGCAGCGCTGGCACCCCATGGGGCCAAGACGCACATAACGGTCCGCAGCCCCTCTCAGGGACCCCTGCCCGACCCAGGGCTCCAGGCTCCCCGGCCCGCAGCAGGGGGCGGAGTGGGGGGGAGCTGCCCCGCATTCTCCCCACCCCAGAGCCGTCCCTCCTCGGGGCGCCGAGGACCCTCACCCCACCATCCCAGGCCGCGCAGGGCCCGGCGGTCCCCGATCCTTTCTCCCCATGCCCTCCCGCTCTCCTCCTGCCCCGCCCCAGCCTCACCGCGCTCCTTCGCGTCGGACTTTTTCCGGGGAAGTTTCTCCCGGCCCCGCAGGCGGGAGAAGGTTTTCCTGAGCAGCGGCTCGGCCATGCTGGGCCCGGCCGGGCCAGTGCGCGTCCCCGCACCGCCCCCCCTCCCCACCCCGGCCCCGGCAGTGGCCGTGCCGTCCCCCGCCCGCCCCGAGCGCGCGCGCCCCGCGCGCCGGCAGGAAGCGCATTCCGGGAATGCTTGTCCCAAACTTTTTTTTTTTATTCCTCCCCTTCCCGCGGCCCGAGCGGGCGCTGCTGGGATATGTAGTCGTCCAGGGCTGTCCCGAGGGGCCAGTGGGCTCCGCGGGATCGCTGCGTCGGCCTGGCTGGGATCTCTGCCTCTTCTTAACGCGGGGGACCCTCCGCTCTCCCCCCAAAAAGGGATCCGCCTCTGAGCGCCTCTTTTGCTTCTCTCTCCGCCTTGCGCTCATCCCTGGTACAAGCCACAGGCCTCTGTGCTATCCACCTTCTCAAGTTTCTCACCTCTCCAGACGGAGTGGGGTGTAGAGCCGCCCCTTTCCGATGCTCGCGGTTGATGGAGGCCAGGGCGGGTCAGGAACTTGGCCAGGGCAGAGCTGGCATTGCGGAAGGGTCTGGGAGCTGATGGCAGCTGTGGCCTGCGACCCCCAGCTGGGGCCCGTCCACTTGCTCTGGGCTTCCTCCCAGCTTGGCAGCCTGGCTGCGGGCGCTGGGATTTCTTGGACCACACCCCACCCATCCACACGTACGCACACACACATACACACACTCCAGGGAATCCCAAAGTGAACAAGAAAGAAGCAGTCTTATCTTTTCTGAGCCAGCCAGACTGTCACACTGTGCCAGACCCTAGGAGAAGAGGATGTATGTAGACGCCACTTGTCATTTTTCAAGGTGGCCATGAACAAGTGGGCATAGGATGGGGAAAATGGTGTGGTTGGTCATCTCGGGACATATAACCGGCCACACCCCTCCACCCTCTCATTCTCCATAGAGTGCCCAGAGTGGACTCAAAATGCAAATGCCATCAGAGCAAAGCCCGCCAAACAGCTGTACCCAGGTTTGCCCTCTCCCTGCTTAGAATAAAATCCAAACACCCACCGACACGCCTGGCCTCATCCCTCTCGCTGTTGCCTTCACTCACTGTGGTTTCCGTCTTGGTCCTCCTGCAAACTGTCCCCGCCCCAGTTCCTTCTGCCCCAGGGAGTCCTGGTTCTCCTCCCATCCTTAAGGTCCATTGGCACCTCCTTGGGAGACCGTCCTTGGCCGCCCTCTACTGTCCAGTCATCAGCACGTGACTGTCTTTCCTTTCAACGCTTGCCACATCTTGACCTTAGTAGGTCTCGTGATTCTGGGTTATCTACCTCCTTGTCTAGACCGGAGCTCCACCAGGTCATGCTTGCCTATCTTGTCCGCTGCTGAAGGTTCAGATAGGAGATGAGATGTCAGGTTACAAAGGCCTGGACAGAGGAAGTGGCCAAGAGATACAGATGGAAGAGACTGAGTGTATTTGTCTACCATACACGGAGTTGGTTGCGCTCCTTGGGTATGCAGACTTTCTGAGGATTTTGGTCATTATTTCATGTCATGTATGTTTGGCAAACACTCTTCTCTCCTTGTGGGACTCCCATTATGCACACATGGGCACACTTGGTGGTGTCCTACACATCTCTCAAGTCTGTTCATGCTTCTTCAGTGTGTGTGTGTTTGAGAGGAGCTGGTCCAGAGAACCATGGACTGCACCCTCCTTCCCCTCTGATCCCTGCCTTGGTTCCTTTGAAGCATCGTCTGACAATGGGAGAGGTGTGGGGGAAAGAGCCTGCCTTTTGAGCACCTGTTCTGTAGGACTCCAGGACTTTCTCCCCTTGGGGTACCTCGGAGCCTCAGAGGAATGGGGAGGCTGACATGGGGGTGAATGCAGCCCTTGGTTCCACCCATGAGAAAGGATTAAAACAAATTTACCATGTGTCTCATAAGTATTTATCACTGTGATGTGTTTATAAACCTTTTGGGCAACTTTGCTGTAGCTTTCCCTGTTGCATTTATTCACCCACAAATTAGCTTGTTCAATTTATGGTTAGCTAAAATTCTTGTTCACAAATCAGTTCTTGATAAATGGTAATGAATATGGTGAAATGATGGTGAATACTAAGTTTTGCACTTCATAAGTGTGTACTTATTTTGGATTCTGCTAGTTGATGCACACATGTGGAAGCCTGTGTGTATGTGTGTGTGTGTGCAATTGTCCTTCTGTATCCATGGGGTATTGGTCTCAGGACCCCTGAGGATCCCAAAACCCACAGATGCTCAGGTCCATGCTATAAAATGGCACAGAACCTTGCTTAGAATCTTGCACAGAACATGAATAGAGCTTTGCATAGCAACTCTTGCATAGAACCTTAGTATGGAACCTAAGCATGAAACCTAATCTAGAACCTAAGCATGGAACTTCAACAAGAACTTAACCATGGAATCTAGCATAGGAGTTAACCATAGAATCTAACATAGAACCTAGCCTAGAACCTCCTAAGCATGGAACCTCACATAGAACCTAGCCTAGAACCTTATGCATAGAAACCGAACCATGGAACCTAGCACAGAAGCCAAGCACAGCACCTAGCCTAGAACTTAAGCATAGGGGCCGGTGCCATGGCTCACTTGGTTAGTCCTCCACCTGCGGTGCCGGCATCCCATACGAGCGCCGGCTTCTAGTCTCGGTTGCTCCTCTTCCAGTCCAGCTCTCTGCTGTGGTCCAGGAGGGCAGTGGAGGATGGCCCAAGTTCTTGGGCCCCTGCACCTGCATGGGAGGCCAGAAGGAAGCACCTGGCTCCTGGCTTCGGATCAGCACAGTGCCTGCCGTAGTGGTCATTTGTGGAGTGAACCAACAGAAGGAAGATCTTTCTGTCTCTCTCACTGTCTAACTCTATCTGTCAAAAAACAAACAAACAAAAAAAACAAAAAACCCAAAACTTAAGCATGGATCCTAACCTAGAAGCTAAGCATAGAATTTAACATAGAACTTAGAATAGAAACTGGTCTAGGCCTCAAGCTTGGAACCTAGTCTAGAATCTAGCCTAGAACCTAAGCATAGAACTTTGCCTAGAACCTAAACATAAAATCTAGCCTAGAACCTAAGCATGGAACCAAAACATGAAACCCAGAGTAGAACCTCAACACAGAGCTTAACCATGAAACCTAGCATAGTAGTTAACCATAAAATCCAGCCTAGAACTTAACCATGAAACCTAGCGTAGAATCTAAGCATGGAACACAGCCTAGAACCTCAACATGGAACCTAACCATAGAACATACCATAGGCGTTAACCATAGAAATTAGCATAGAAACTAGCTTAGAACCCAATTTGAAACCTAGCATAGAACCTACATAGACCCTAAGTGTGGAACCAGCCTAGAAGCTATGTACATTGTTTTTTTTTTTTTTTTTTAAGATTTATGTATTTATTTGAAAAGCAGAGTTACAGAGGCAAAGAGAGAGAGAGAGAGAGAGAGAGAGAGAGAGAGAGATCCTCCATCTGCTTGTTCATTTCCCAAATGGCTGCAATGGCCAGAACTGGGCTGATCTGAATCCAGGAGCTTCTTCTGGGTCCCCCACATGGGTACAAGGGCCCAAGCACTTGGGCCATCTTCTATTGCTTTCCCAGGCCACAGCAGAGAGCTGGATCAGAAGCAGAGCAGCCAGGTCTTGAACCAGTGCCCATATGGGATGCTGGCACAGTAGGCAATGGCTTTACCCAACATGCCACAGTGCCAGCCCTGTACATCCTTTCATATACTTTAAATCACCTCTAGCCTACTTTTGACACATGATACAGGGGCTGGCACTGTGGTAAAGTGGGCTAAGCCTCTGCCTGCAGTGCCAGCATCCCATATGGGCGCCGGTTCATGTCCTGGCTACTTCTCTTCCAATCCAGCTCTCTGCTATGACCTGGGAAAGCAGCATAAGATGGCACAAGATTTTGGGCCCCTGCACCCACGTGGGAAACCTGAAAGAAGCTCCTGGCTCCTGGCTTCAGATTGGCCCAGCTCTGGCTGTTGCAGCTGTTTGGAGAGTGAACAAGCAGATGGAAGACCTCTCTCTCTCTCTCTCTCTCTCTCTCTCTCTCTCTGTCTCTACCTCTCAAATAAATGAATAAAATCTTTTTAAAAAAACCAATACAGTGAAAATTTTAGGTTATCCTCTATCATTTAGGGACTAACTGCAAGGGTTTTCCCTCCACGTTCAGTACAGGTGCAGTCCCCATGTGTTTTCTTTCCCTTTTTTTTTTTTCCTTTTTTTTGACAGGCAGAGTGGACAGTGAGAGAGAGAGAGAGACAGAGAGAAAGGTCTTCCTTTTGCCGTTGGTTCACCCTCCAATGGCCGCCGCGGCCGGCGCGCTGTGGCCGGCACACCGCGCTGATCCGATGGCAGGAGCCAGGTGCTTCTCCTGGTCTCCCATGGGGTGCAGGGCCCAAGCACCTGGGCCATCCTCCACTGCACTCCCTGGCCATAGCAGAGAGCTGGCCTGGAAGAGGGGCAACCGGGACAGAATCCGGCGCCCCGACTGGGACTAGAACCTGGTGTGCCGGCGCCGCAAGGCGGAGGATTAGCCTATTGAGCCACGGCGCCGGCCCCCCATGTATTTTCAATCCGTGGCTGGTTGAGTCCACCGATGTGGATCACACAGGTAATAATGGCTGCCTGTTTACTTCCCTCTAAATGTTCTCATTGGCTGTTAGGCCTGTACTTATGGTGCTATTGGAATAACTAGTCCTCTTCCCACCCTGGAAGACAGGAGGACTTGTTAGAGGGACCGGTGCAGGTGGAGCAGGCTGGAACTCTGCCCTTCCGCGGAGGACATGCTGGGAGCTAGCAGATAAATGCCCCAGTCCGCTAGCCCATCCCTGGGGAGGAGGAAAGTGTGTGCTACACACCGCCCCCTGGTGGTCCTCAGCGGAACTGAGCTCCCACAGCTCACAGTGGGAATGAGCTTGGAAGCTCCCTGCGCCGGGGTTGTCGTTCCTAGTTGTTTCCACACCTAGCACCTTCCCAGGTGAGAAGGCGAGGGCCGCGGCCTGTGCAGGCCAGGAGTCCGACCTCCAGGGAGCCGTGGAAGAGGTGGCTGTCCAGAGATGAAGACAGTGGTCTCACCAGGTGTTCTCTTACCTGGGGTGGGGGTGGAGGGTGTGGGCAGTCAGCGGTGTTGCATTTCTTGGCTGGGACCCCCTGGTGGACGCCTGGAAGATCCCAGCCAGGCTGCTGTGCGGCTGAAGCAGAGTGCAATGGAGTCCCCGGTGAGCCCCTCCCTCCATTGGCTGTGCCCCCTTTTGTCAGCCCCTTGCACAGGCCCCAAGACACACTTTTGGGAACCTGCAGACATGCCACAAGTGGCCCTGGTGTTCAGCTTTGCAGGCTGTGAGGTGTCAGAGTAGACAGCGTGGGGTGTGCAAGAGCAAGGGGTGGGGGTGGGACCTGGGCTGGGCCAAGCCAAAGCCAGGAGCCTGGAATTCCATCTGGGTTTCCCACATGAGTGGCAGTGGACCTTAGTACTTGGGCCATCACCTGTGTCCTTCCCAGGTGCATTAAGCAGGGAGCTGGATCGGAAGCTGAGCTCTTGGGACCCCCAGCGCTCATAGGGGATGCCAGCATTGCAGGAGGCAGCTTAACCACCTGGGCCATAATGCTGGCCCCCAGCCATGTGATTTATGGGGTCAGGAGGGGTGGGGGAGGAGGGCCTGGGTCATACTGCATCTGTTGGGTCTCTGGGGCAAGTGGGGTTGGAGCTATGGTGCTCAGTCACAGGGGGGATGAGTTGGGTCCCTGTGGCTGGCAAGGCACTACCTCAGACATAAACCAAAGCATCACACAACCAGACACAAAACCAGAGCAGCGCCGAGGGGGAATGAAGGGGTCCCAGGTGTATCGGGGGCTAGGCTTGGGGAGGGGGCTTCCCTGAGGAAGCCAGGTCTGCATGAGAGCTCAGAGCCCAACAGACATTAATTTTGGGAGGTGGTGAGAGTTGGGAACAGCATGTGCAAGGATCCTGTGGCATCATCTTCCTCTGTCCCTTTTTGTCCCACTGCTGGGATTCAGCCCATCTCATCTCTCTCTCTCTCGTTCTTTTAGATTTTCCTCGCCTCTTATGCTTCCCATCTATTGACACCAGGCTGGAAAACAATGTTCCCAGGTGAAATCCGATCCTGGAGCTGAGAACAGATTTAATATTTTTAATGGGATACATATTTTTTTAAATATTTATTTATTTAAAAGGCAGAGTCACAGAGAGGCAGAGGCAGAGAGAGAGAGAGAGGTCTTCAATCCACTGGTTCACTCCCCAGATGGCCACAATGGCTGGAGCTGAGCCAATCCGAAGCCAGGAGCTTCTTCCAGGTCTCCCACGCAGGTGCAGGGGTCCAAGGACTTGGGCCATCTTCAACTTCTTTCCCAGGCCATAGCAGATAGCTGGATCAGAAGTGGAGCAGCCGGGACTTGAACAGTGCCCAGGTGGGATGCTGGCACTGCAGGTGGTGGCTTTACCTGCTATGCCACAACGTCAGCCCCAATACTTTTTTTTAGAAAAGATTTATTTATTTATTTGAAAATCAGAATGACAGAGAGAGGGGAATACACACACACACACACACACGTGCACAAAATCTTCCGTCCACTGATTCACCCCTCTCCCCAAATGCCAGCAAAAGCCAGTACCCAGGAATTTAATCTGGGTCTCCCAGCTGGAGGGCAAAACTCCAAGCCCTGGGGCCATCACCTGCTGCCTCCCCAGGTGCATTACCAGGGAGCTGGATCGGCAGCAGGGCAGCCGAGGCTGCGGTCAGCTCTCCGATATGGGATGCATCCCGTTGCACCACAATGCCGGCCCCTAGTGTTAAAACTGTACTGCATGACATGTCGGTGTGATATGCATTCAAGCACCCACAGGAACCATGGCACCAGCGCACACCACGTGCACACCTGGTGGTGTCCACGCTGCTCTCTCGCCTCACCGAGAGAATGCAAATCCCTGCAGGAGACCCAAGGGGTCGTTGACACAGGAAGACAAGCCCTCCCTGTCCCCTCTGTGCAACTCCACCGTGCCTCAGATCACGCGGGTGGGTCTCCGTGATTTCTTAGGACAAGCCAGGCTGGATTCCACCACGCAAAGCTTGCCAGTGCCGCTGCCTCCCAGGGGAGCAGGTGGAGCTGGACCAGCATCCAGAGGTGCCTCCAGGTCGTGGTGGAAAGCGGCCTCTATCGCCCCCTGGTGGCAACATCCTCTAACGGGCGCTCCCCTTGCTCGATTTTCTGGTCCAACCTCCTGGGGGTGGCTCCAACGTGGAGACTCCCACGAATCCCCCGGGGGTGTCGCGTTCCCCGAGATGATGCTTCCAGTTTCAGTACAGGACCAGACAGTAAATATTTTATCACGTTTTGTGCCCGGACTGCTCAGAGCTGGCAGCGAAGAAATGGCTGTAGGTGATGGTGTGTTAATGACCAGGTGTGGCTATGTTACGCCAGAAACTTATTTAAGGGTACCAGGGTTATAACTTCATATGGGGCCAGCGCTGTGGTGCAGCGGGTTAAGCTGCCCTCTGCAATGCCGGCATCCCCTATGGGTGCTGGTTCGAGTCCTGGCTGCTCTACTTCCCATCCAGCTCCCTGCTAATGGTCTGGGAAAGCAGCAGAAGATGGCCCAACTCCCTGGGCCCCTGCACCCAGGTGGGAGACCTGGAAGAAGCTACTGGCTTTGGTCTGGCTCAGCCCCGTTTCAGCAATTTGGAAATGAACCAGCAGATGGAAGGTCTCTCACCATCTCTCTTCTTTCTCTATAACTCTTTTTAAAAATAGTTTTATGCAACTTATTTATTTGAAAGGTACAGTTACAGAGATAAGGAGTGACAGAGAGCTATTTACGCTCCCCAAATGTCTGTACCTGCCAGGGCTAGGCCAGGCTGAAGCCAGGAGTCAGGAACTCTTACATGGATGGCAGGAGCCCCAGACCTTGGGCCATCTTCTGCTGCTTTCCCAGGTGCATTAGCAGGGAGCATGACGATGCCAAAAACAAAAACCAGCAACTCATTGGTGCGCATGTCGGAGCAGGACAGCTTCAGCAGGGGCATGAGGTCGCAGAAGAAGTGCGTGATCTTGTTGGCATGGCAGAAGCTCAGCTGAGCCATGAGGCAGGTGTGGACGAGGGACTGGAGGTTGGTGACCACCCAGGGGCCATCCAAGCAGGGAGCTGGCTTGGAAGTGGAGCAGCTGGGACTCGAACTGGCACCATATGGAATGCTGGGACTGCAGGTGGCGGTTTAACCCACTATGCCATAATGCTGACCGTAGACCTCCAACTTGTAGACAGTACTAAGTTGTCCAGATCTGGACTCTGGGGTGGGAGCTGTTTTGGAGGGTGACCGCTACTCACCGACAGCCTCTGTCCCCAAGCATGCTTCCTCATCTTTAACTGACGGGTCACAGGGGTCTTCAGACAGTTCGTGGAGATGTCCATCATCTGTTGAAGAAAGTGTTCAGGGGCTGGCCTGGTGGTGCAACAGGTTAAGCCGCCGCCTGTGATGCCAGCATCCCATAGGGGGCGCCAGTTCCTGTCCAGGCTGTTCCACTTCTGATCCAGCTCCTGCTGATGCGCCTGGGAAAAGCACGGGAGGGTGGCCCAGGGACCCTGCCACCCACATGGGAGACCTGGATTGAGTTCTGGGCTCCTGGCTTTGGCCATTGCAAGCATTTGGGGAGTGATAGATGGGAGTCTCTCTCTCTCTCTCTCTCTCTCTCTCTCTCTCTCATAAACAAACAAAAATTAACAAGGCTGGTCCCAGGGTCTGATGCTAGATTCATAGACGCAGTTAGTTTGAGTTTCTAAGAGCCAGCATTATTGTCTAATTGTGTGGAGTAAGAGGAACCTTTTGCCGAGAGCAGTTGGTACTCAAGGTCATGGCCACAGCAGAGAGGTTTCAAGCCCCCCCCCACCCGCCCCACCCCAGGAGGCCCAGCCTGGCCATGGCAGAAGCCAGCAGGTGTGGGCTTATGGCTGCAGATGCTGTCTAAGCACATCCCTCGGGGATGTCACCAGCTAAGAGGTGGGGTGGTCTGCCAGTATCCCAGTGATCATTGCCCCGTCTCTCTTCACATTTGTATGGTCCATGGAGCAACTTGGTGCCCATATTGAAGGCTTTCTGGCTACTTCATGGGGGTGTTCGGTTGGGAAACTTTTGTGTTTCCATGGCACTTTATTCATTTCTCTCTCTCTTTTTAAAAAGATTTATTTATTTATTTGAGAGGGAGAATTACAGACAGAGAGAGGGAGAGACAGAGAGAGAGTCTTCCATCCACTGGTTCACTCCCCAGAGCTGCGCTGATCCAAAGCCAGGAACCAGGAGTTTCTTCCAGGTCTGCCCATGTGGATGCAGGGGCCCAAGCACTTGGGCCATCTTCTGCTGCTTTCCCAGGCCATTAGCAGGGAGCTGAATAGGAAGTGGAGCAGCTGGGACTTGAACTGGTACCCATATGGGATGCCGAAGCGGCAGGTGGAGGCTTAACCCGCTACGCCGGCCCTGACTTTATCCATCTCTTGATGACCTGTTCACATCAGCATGCAGTCAGGCTTGATCGGTACATCTCTATTCCCTGCTGGAGTCTGAACCACTCAAGGGGTGCACCCCCACCCCGTGTCACCAGCGCGCAGCCAGTAGTCTCGGAAACACAGCAGGCACTCAACATCTGCTCTGCCCTAGACGCTGGAGGAGGTGACTCTGCCGAAGAGCTTCCTCAGGGCTGCCTTCATGTCCTTGTTCCTTAGGCTGTAGATGAAGGGGTTCAGCATGGGGATGACCACCCCACACATCAGGGCAGCTGCCTTCTCTTTCCGGGAGGAGCCGCGCGCAGGCGCGGACTGCAGGTACACGGCGAAGATGGTCCCGTAGAAGAGCGAGACCACGGTGAGGTGGGAGCCACACGTGGAGAAGGCTTTCCACTTGCCCCGAGCAGAGGGGATTCTGAAAACTGCCCGGGAAATGCAGAGGTAAGAGACTAGGATGCACAAGAGCGGGCTGAAGCCCATGACGATGCCAAAAGCAAAAACCAGCAACTCGTTGGTGCGCGTGTCCGAGCAGGACAGCTTCAGCAGGGGCATGAGGTCGCAGAAGAAGTGCGTGATCTTGTTGGCATGGCAGAAGCTCAGCTGAGCCATGAGGCAGGTGTGGACGAGGGACTGGAGGTTGGTGACCACCCAGGGGCCGCCCACCAGCAGCCCGCAGACACGGGGACTCATGAGGACCTGGTAGCGAAGTGGGTGGACGATGGCCGTGAACCGGTCCACGGCCATTACCGCCAGCAGGAAACTGTCCATGGTACCGAAGAGGTGAAAATCGTACATCTGGGCGAGGCAGCCCGCATAAGGGATGGCTTGGCTCTGCGTCTGGATGTTCACCAGCATCTTGGGGACGGTGGTGGAGATGAAGCAGACGTCCACCAAGGACAGGTTGGAGAGGAAGAAGTACATGGGCGTGTGGAGCTGGGGATCTGAGAGGATGGCCAGGACGATGAGCAGATTCCCAGCCACAGTGACCAGGTACATGGAGAGGAAGAGCCCAAACAGAAGAGTCTGGTGCTCTGGCTGTTGTGAGAGTCCAAGGAGGAGGAATTCAGAGACTGCTGTGTGGTTTCCCAGTTCCATGGACAGCTGCTGTTTCCTGGGGACATAATAGGGACAGTTAGAGAGGGGTTGCAGTCCCAGCTTCCCGATGAGCCCTCGGGGACCATCCATGCCATCCCTAGGCTAAGTTTCTTGGGGTCACACCATCTTCAGACTTTCTCCCCAAGCTGCGCTATCTCAGTGTCTCCAAGACCTAACTCCACTGTTTGTTGTCAACTTGGACATCGTTTATAAACAGGAAGTCAAATAGAATTGAATGGGAACCCAGAGGGGCACCTAGCATTTTCTTTGTTTTCCTCTCTTAGGTTATGATTTTTCTAATAGTTTGGGTGTTTCCTCCAAAGTTCATGTGTTGGGAGTTTAATCTCAAAGTCTTAAACATTTTATTTATTTATTTTATTTGAAAGGGGGAGAGAGAGAGAGAGAGAAAGAGAGAGGATGAATCCATTGGTTCACTCCTCAAATGCCCACAACAGCCAGGGCTGGCTCAGCCTAAAGCCAGGAGCGTCAGGAGTTCCATCTGGGTCTCCCATGTGGGTGGCAGGGACCCAAGCACTTGAGCCATCACCTGTTACATCCCAGGGTGTGAATTAGCAGGGAGCTGGACTAGACAGCAGAAGTGGGACTTGAACCCAGGCACTCTGACAGGGGATGCGGGTGTCCCAAACCCTCCCCCAAAGTCTGTACCTAAAAACATTGCATCTATTGCATGCAACAAGGTGTTTTGAAAATGTATGCTGGGGTTGGCGCTGTGGCATAGCAGGTAAAACCACTGCCTGCCATGCCGGCATCTCGTATGGGCACTGGTTGGAATCCTGGCTGCTCCACTTCTGATCCGGCTCCCTGCTAATGCACCTGGGAAAGCAGTAGAAGATGGCCCAAGTGCTTGAGTCCCTGCACCCATAGGGGAGACCTGGAAGAAGCTCCTGGGTCCTGACTTTGGATTGGCACAGCTCTGGCTGTTACAGCCACCTGGGAAGTGAACTAGTGGATGGAAGACTCACTCTCTCTCTCTCTCTCTCTCTCTCTCTCTCTCTCTCTCTCTCCCACCCTGCCTCTGCATAATTCTGCCTTTAAAATAAATAAATAAATCCTAAAAAAAAGGAAAATGCATGCACTGTGACATGGCTACATTGAGGGACGTAACATATGCTGAACCTCACATTTTTACCCTTTTAGGGGCTGGGGTGAGCACATTGCAATTTACTTACGTGATTTTCCACAGTACAGGCATTATGATGAGCTTCAGTCTGTGCTGTACAATATATCACTGCACTTATTCCTATCTAACTGACCTTTCAATTTTGAAATATTTTGACTATGGGGGGCAGCATTGTGGAATAGCGGGTAGAGTCACCATATGCAGTGCTGGCATCCCATATGTGTGCCGGTTCGAGTCCCGGCTGCTCCACTTCTGATCCAGCTCTCTGCGATGGCCTGGGAAAGCAATAGAAGATGGCCCAAGTGCTTGGGCCCCTGCACTCATGTGGGAGACCCAGAGGAAGCTCCTGGCTCCTGGCTTTGGATTGGCCTAGCTCCCGCTGTTGCGGCCAATTGGGGAGTGAATCATCAGATGGAAGACTCTCTCTCTCTCTGCCTCTCTGTCTCTTTGTGTAACTCTGACTTTCAAATAAATAAATAAAATATTTTAAAAAGTGATTTATGGTCAATAATAGGAGTCACTGAGCACTTGCTCCCCATGTAGGACCTCTGTCCTTAATGTGTTTTACTATGAGAATTAATGGTAAAACTAGTCTTAAAACAGTACTTTATACTTGTGTGTCTGTGTGGGTGCAAGCTGTTGAAATCTTTACTTAGCATAGAGTTGATTTTCTGTATATAAAGATAATAAAAATGAATCTTAATGGAGAATGGGATGGGAGAAGGACTAGGAGGTGGGATGGTTTGGGAGTGGGAGGGCACGTATGGGGGGAAGAACCACTATATTCCAAAAAGCTGTACCTATGCAATTTATATCTATTAAATAAAAGCTTTCAAAAATGATTTATGGGGTGAGCAGTTGGGGCAACAGTTAAGCTCTCACTGAGTTACCTGCATCCCATATTGGAGTGCCTGGATTCCAGCCCTGCTCCGCTTCTGATCCAGCCTCCTGTAATGTGCATCCTTGGGAGGCCGGCTGTGATGGCTGCCCATGTGGGAGACCAGGATGGAGTTTCTGGCTTTTGGCCTTGGCCTGGCCCAGCCCAGGGTGTTGTATTCATTTGGGGAGTGAATTGGCAGATGGGGGATCTCTCTTTCTATCTCTCTGCCTTTCAAATAATAAAATTTAAAAATTCTGAAAAAGAATGTGTCAGGTACCATTTCTCTTATGATAAATCTAAGGGGACTTGAAAAAATTTATAGAAAATTGAATTAAAAGATAAGTTGATTTTGGGATAAAAATGTTGAAATTCACGCATAGTTTTTTTCCTAATATGCATTTCCATGAGCTTTTTGAAGACCCCTGGCAGGATGTGAAAACTCGTACTATCCCTCATGGTTCTTTCTCTCTAGAATAATAGGTTATGAGGTGTGAGGTTATTCTAGAATCAGGTAAAATAGAACATAATGAGACATCCTCACTGCATGGCTTACCAGAGTCCTTGTAGAACCTTAATACAGTCTCTTCCCAGCTGAGAGGTTTTTCCTTTGTTAGTGCATTTCTTTTAAAAAATTATTGATTCATTTATTTGAAAATTCGAATTACAGCAAGATGGAGAGAGGCAGAGAGAAGTCTTCCATCTGCTGGGTCAGTCCCCGGATGTGATAACTTTAATGACAGGATCTCTATGGGGTTGATTCTGCTCAGGAGCCAGGTCCCCCACGTGTTGGTCTCTAAGAGCTAGCAGGTGTTAGCTGTACTTTACCATCGGACTGGGGCTGACACAGGCGCTAGGGGTGTGCAAAGGCCCAAGTGTCTCACCGGCATTTAGGTGTCCAATTCAGCCACCAAATCTCACGGCTTCTTAGAGTTCCTGCTTGCAGACTCTGTAACTGGGTTTCCACCAAGCACCTGAATGCTTTCACTGTTGACTTTCACAGAGGGACCCGTCCTGGGGCAGGGAGGGGTACACCTATACGGACATCCGAAGCACAGCACCCTGAGAGGCCAGCAAAGCCCTCCATCACTGTTTCGGACTAGGGCTGGAGGTTTCTGTTGTGCCATTGGCTCCCTGGCCACACACACACACACACACACACACTCACACACTCACACTCATGGGCAGGAGCCCTCCTGGTGGGCAGTTCTCAGCCTTGAGCTCATGTCAGACTCACCTGGAGGGCTTGTTCAGACAGACCCTTATACCCAGGATCTCCAGGGTGAGCCTGCTGAACTAGCACCTGTGGACAGATGCCAGGCCCTGGGACTGCTGGAGCTGACGGGTCAGGGTCACACCTGCAGAAGCTGTTTCAATCTCTCCTGGTCAGACAGGTGCACCCGGCTGCAGACCCCACCTGTTGTTCTCTGCTTCTCCTCCCCTGAGACCCTCAGGCAGCCTAGAATTGGTCTCAATCTCTTCTCTCTCTCTCTCCCCTCCTCACATCCAAGAAGGGCAAGGATTCCTCTCCCCTCCCCTCCCCTCCCCTCCCCTCCTCTCCCTCTCTCTCTCTCTCTCTCTCTCCCCTCCACACATCCAAGAAGGGCAAGGATTCCTCTCCTCTCCTCTCCTCTCCTCTCCTCTCCTCTCCTCTCCTCTCCTCTCCTCTCCGCTCCTCTCCTCTTCTCTCCTCTGCTCTCCCTTTGAGTTACTCCTGCGTCGATCCTTCTCTCACCCATCCCCAGATCTAGACTGACTCTGTTGAACGGGGCACTCGGCAACTACCAGGGCTGTACTCCGCCGGACCTCCAAACGGCAGCATCCAGCTG